AATCCCAGCGACACACACCTGCCAGGATGGAGTGCTGAAGGCACAGATAGCCATCTCCCTGTCTCCAGAGCCTGCAGGCAGCCAAGCTGAACACCCAAATTGAAAGTGCTGAGACCACTTATCACATGTGATGATCACCAAGCTCCATCAGTCAGCAGGCAGGCACAGCAGAGAGCTGTGAATAATGAGATCCTTGCAGCACAGCCCCTGCAAAGGGGGAAGGAAAAGGCTCTGAGCTGGTTCCCTTCTCCTCCCTGCCTCATTCCTGCATCTGAAATCAGCTTTTTAAGCCCCATCCCGAAATGCCAGCAGCTTGCCTTGCTGCAAGGTGCAGTGCAGAGCACCACTTGGTGGTGACAAGGAGGAAGCTGCACTTCCCAAAAAACCCCACAAACTTCCCAAATGTGGGATTTCAGCAGAGGAAGCACAACTCAGAGTGCAGAAGGCTGGGCACTCCCATAAAATGGGAAAGGGAAGTGAGCAGCACAGAGCCAAAGCTCAGGCTGGAGGTTTGTGCTTCACACTCCTACAAAAGTCACATTTTTCCTCCTAAAACTGGCACCTTTTGGCCTTCAAAAGGCCTCAGCAGCAGATTGAAAGAAAACTGTTGGGAAAGACTGAATGCAGCGAGGAGTGCAAGTGCAAAGCCCAGCAGACTCAGAAGTAACCCAGAGTTTCATTTGCAGCTCAGTGTGAACTATTTTTGTGTGACATGGAATGGTTTTTACTCTGAGATTAGAGCCCAACTGTTAATCCTGCACTAAGCCCCAAGTGCCACATCCACACATCTTTTAAACCTCTCCAGGGATGGGGACTGGGCAGCCTGGCCCAATGCCTGACCATGCTTTTATTAAGGAAATTTTCCCTGATATCCAACCTAAACCTGCCTGGTGCAGCTTGAGGCTCTTTCTCCTTCTCCTATTTCTTACCTAGGGAAGCTGCAGGGGAGCCCCAAGGAAAGATCTGAGATAAAATAACACATTTTAAGCAGAGTTTTTCCAGCTTTATTAATAGAAACAGCCACCACTGGGCTTTATCATGGGACTCTGAAGGGATCCATTATTGACACAGGTGAGATCCAGAGGATGGGATTTGCTTTTTCACCTTGTGCTTGCTCCAAAAGTGAGGCTACACATCCACAATGATTTCTGTGGCTTAGGCAGAATTGAGAGCCCCTCACACCTCCCTTGTGAGAGACATTTCCCTGACCCAGCAGTATCCACACCCTGTGGAATCTGAAGCAAACCAGCAGCATCCAGCAGGTAAAAGCACCAAAAATCAATTTTTGGGCATGTGATGGCGTGGAAGAAGGTGGAGCTGAAGCCACTGTGCTCATAACCTTGCTGAAGGCAATGGAGCTACAGCAGGTTTGCAGCTGGAGAAACCTTCACTGGAGAGTGATGTTTCTATATTTAGGTATTTTCCATTAATGTTTGCAAACACTTGGATTGCTCAGGAGAGGCAGGAAAGCATCGCTCTGTCAGGCTGAACACACAGCAGCAGAAAGATCTTGCTGTGCCCTGAGCAGCCAGAGGCTCTCAGTGGAAGGTGACAGATTCACTCAGAGGCACAAAGTGAATTCAAAGTACAAAAAACCCCCCACCCCACCAAAAAAAAAAAAAAANTTTCAGGGGTCTGAGAAACAGCACCAGGCCCTGGTTGTGACCGTGTTCACAGGGGTCTGAGGATGAGGGAAGAGACGAGGATCTGACTCCATGTTTCAGAAGGCTGATTTATTATTTTATAATATCTATTACATTAAAACTATACTAGAAGAATAGAAGAAAGGATTTCATCAGAAGGCTAGCTAAGAATAGAAAGAAAAGAATGATAACAAAGGTTTGTGGCTCAGCTCTCTGTCTGAGCCAGCTCCCTGTGATTGGCCATTAATTAGAAACAACCACATGAGACCAATCCCAGATGCACCTGTTGCATTCCACAGCAGCAGATAATCATTGTTTGCATTTTGTTCCTGAGGCCTTTCAGCTTCTCAGGAGGAAAAATCCTAAGGAAAGGATTTTCCATAAAAGATGTCTGTGGCACCTTGTCACTGCTTTGTCCCCTGCCTGCTGTACCAGATCTGCAACTCCTGCCCTGAGCCTGTTGCTCCAGCAGCTGGAAATGCAGCTGTGACTGCAGCCCAAACACAAACCATGAGCTGTGTCTGGCACAGAACCTCCTCTGTAACCCCAAAGCTGATGGCAAACATTGTCACATACAACTCTTTGCATGTTCATGGCAAACATTGTCACTTACAGCAGCACCACACGTCTCTTTCACTGAGCTTGCCAAAGACAACCAGAAACCCTTAAGGACTCAAAGTATTCCTCTCACACAAATCCAGGGGGACAGCAGGACATGTGAGACAGCCCTGACACAGCCACTACACAACAGAGTGCTTTTCAAGCAGGATTTAGTGTGACAGGGAGGGATCAGTCCTGCTGCAAACTCAATCTCCCCTTCAAAGGCCAACCCTCCCACAGAGGTCTGGAAATCAAACCTCCCACACAGTTCTTGAAACACAATCTTTGATTCAATTAAGGAAGCCAAGATTCACTAAAGCAGGCTGGAAACAGCATCACTGAAGAGAACATCCAGGTAAAATCAGAATTATGCTTTCAGGGGAAGTGATAGAAATCACATAGATATATATGAAGGACAATATATAAAAGACTTTGTGGATTTTTATTTGATGGGCTTCTCATAACAGCTCATTCTAATAGTCACACACAAAGACCTTCTGTCTAGATGTGGTTCAGCTCCCACAAATTCACCTGAAATGTTCCCACAGTGTTTGACAGGGCTTGGCTTGGGAATTGAGTATGCTGGGAAATTATTCCAGAGCTTTTGCCAAGCTGGACAAGTTCCTTTCTCAGATCTCCCTTGTCCCACAGCAGCTCTGACCTGCATCTCAAGGACCTCACATGTACAAACACTGACTCCTAGGTGGAGTAAGGCTAGAAATTAAACAAAGGGCCTGCATGTACAGCAGGAATAAATTTATAAATTTATAAATTTATAAATTTATAAATTTATAAATTTATAAATTTATAAATTTAGGCTTTGCAGGTTTGTCTTCACACTGCCAGCACAGCTTCCCAAGGCTGGACCATAAATGGACCTCTTAAAATGTCAGAAAAGTGAACTCAGACCAATGTTCTGAAGTAGCAAAGAGGATGATGAGCAAATACCCAACTCCTTTGTCCCCACAAGACAAATATCCCTGCACCAACTATCTTGGGCAAAGGGAACTGAAATTTGCCCAGGAATCTCACCTGAGAAGTTTTTTATTGTCCAACCTTGGAGCAAGACAACACTAAGCTCTGGTAATGAATGAGCAGAATTGGAATATCCATATTTTCCCCAAAATGACAAGTCAGGTCACGCTGCCTGGGACACAGCCCAGTTTCCCCCAGTTGTCACTGGTGAACTGGGATTCCTCAGGAATGACCCTGCTCTGTGCTCAGCTCGAGAGCCAACCCATGGCTGGCATGAGGGATTGTCTCATGCAGAGTGAAGAGCAGGAGGGGTGAAGGGTAAAGAAGGAGGAAAGGGATTTTCTCTTACCCAGCCCCTGGTTCTGCTGCTCCCACTCAATGGTGTCAGGAACCTGGTAGGACACCCCAGCCAGCTGGGCCACTGGGTTCTCCAGGCCAGCCAGGGGCTCCTGGGAGGTCTCTCCTGGAATTGTGAAGCCTGGCAGATCCGTGTCACCCTCCATGCTTTCATCCATCAGGTCTAGGTCTTTGTCCTCCTCGTCTTCCTCTTCCTCCTCCTCTTCTTCCTCCTCCTCCTCGTCATCCTCTTCCTCTTCCTCACCCTCTGGCCAGGGAGACAGAAAAGAAATGTCAGGGAACATATTGAACTAGAGCTCAAAAGAGGAGAGCAAACTTGAGTCAGCAGACACACTGCAGTAGCAGCAACTGTACTATACATCCTCCTTATGGTTAAGAGTTTATGCAATTGCAGTTTAAATTGAAGTTGTAATTCACGTGTTGGAAACACAGAAGATGATTTCACATCTTAACACGGGGAAACTTCAGCCCCACAGCATCTCCCTGTAATTCAGCACCACAACGTGCAAGGACAAGAGTCCAAACCCAGAAATAATTTTTTACCCTGGAGAAAAAAGAATCTTGAAACAGAATTGTTTTGATTCCTTGACACTGATGTTCAAAGCTTTAAATGAAATCTTGTGGCTGATCATTTTACTTCTGAACTGAACAACAACTGCTTTGGGAGTGGGAAGCAGAAGGGTCACAGATCTCTGTGGGGAGCACCAGGCTGAGCTCCTCCAGAGCAGAGCTGCAGGAACCTGCCCCTGTTCTCTGGCAGCAAAAACACCCACAGGGGCTCATCTGGAGGAGCTCATCACCACTGGAGCTTGCTGGGGAACAAGGAGATGTCATCTCAGACTCTCAGATTAGTGGGAAACAGAGTAAATTTTTGGTTCCTAGCAGCAGGGTGCAAACAAGGATGTGCATGTGTAAAACACCTGGGTTTCTGTAACTGCAGAGCTCCCTGCTTAACCCATCACGGAGAGATGCTCCTCCCCTGATTTCTGATCTTGGAGGCAGCACTGAGTTGGTTCAGTGTTTAACTGATTGACTGAGTCTTTCCCAGCTCTGGAAAGGGCACAGCTTTCAGGACCAGGTTGCTCCAAGATCCCACCTGGCTTTGAAAAGTGCTGGAAATAAGGCATCATAGCCAACACTTCACAGGAGAGCTGATAAATGTGACTCTGAGAAAATTCCTGTGAATTCAGTGCAAGGTCTCCCTGCCCATGGAGGGTGGGGATAGAAACAAGACGATCTTTAAGGTCCCTTTCAACCAAAACCATTCTGTGATTCCATGAATTCTCCACTACAGCAGATACCCATTTATTCCAAAACTGTTAACATAGGAAAAAATAAATATTTAAGCCATATTTCATACCTAGGATCTAAAATGGCAACACATGAACCACTGTACTGGATCAAACCAAAGGGGTTTTTCCCCATTTTTCCCTATTTCCAGCCACAACTGGCTGCAGATGCTGAAGGAAGTCTAGAGCAGGGTAAACACAGAGCCAGTCTTCCCACAGTTTTGGGGTTTTTTTCCCAAGTTATAGTTACCAAAGTCTCAGGGACATCCTCTGCCAGAATTTGCATTGGAGCAATTTAATAGCTGCTGATGGAGCCACCCACCAGGGAAAGATAATATCTGGAACAATGGCATGCTTTGAATTTCTCCCAGTTCCTTTTTCAAGGCTGAGAATTGAAACACAGTATTTATGCACTTTTATCTAATTTACACCAACTCTGCTCAGCCCTGTAGAAAAATTCCCTCCTGGTGTAGTCACCCTGTATGCAGGCATTAAAAACTAACAAACCACCCTTTGTTAACCAAATCCTTTATCTATTATATTTGTTGTCCAAATATTTCTGCTGTAGTTGTAGCTCCTATAGGTTGGTGGCAATCCAGCCTGGATTAAATGGCCTCCAAAATTTGGGATGTCACATGAGATGGGAATCTGAGAAATCAGTGGCTGTTATAAACCCACTGTGCTGTGCCAGGGCATCTCCCTGCCCTGGAATTCAAGGATTTGCTCCCAACCACTGCATGTTTTCCTCAGCTCACCAGACAAGACAATCCCAGTGCTGCCTTTCACTCCTGTATTCCATACAAATGAGCTGCTGCTGCTGGGATTCAGCTGCATCACCCTGCTAGAGCCTGGCTTTTGGTGCCTGGAAAGATCATTCCTGCCACACAGAGCATCTAATGGAGCTCCCAGGGGTGCAGCTAGCTAGCCTCCTAAATTCCCATTGCATTTTAGAGGCAGTTTCTGTATTGTAATGTGCCCAGCACTTGGAATCAAATCAGAATTTTTCTCTGTCAAAATGCATGTTTTTATACAAACCACACAGCTGTGAAGCTGACAGTGGCACCTGGAGAATGCTCACTGCAAAGACAAGTGAAAACAGGTCTTTTCACTCTGCTGAGAGCAACACAGGCATCAACAATCCCAAAAATTACCAGCAGAGACTCTGAACAGCCTGAAAACCAAAATATGAACAGAACCTTCCCCGAGACTGGGTGGGAAAACCAGCCAAGAGAGAACAGGCATTGCGTTTTTATCTCTGAAAAAGTACTCTGGGACAAGGGGTTTAGAATACCCAATGTAAATTTTCTTTGATGGAACTTAAGGTTGTTTTCTCTTGTCTAAATTCAAGGATTTTCTCCTAAAACAAAACCAAACTGTTTCTCCAGCAGCATTCACCTCAA